TTCGCAGATTGCATACAAAGACCCCACTATGTGCTTGCTATCTGTAAAAAAAAATCCAAAAACAAAATAACTCTACCTTAAATATAAAGACAAAGGTTAAAAGTAAAAAGATGCAAAGTAAAAAGATGGAAAAAGATACAGTCCTACAAATCAAAGAAAGCTAAGTGGCTATATCGCACCAAGGAGATTTCATGAGGAAGAATAATTTAGCAGCGATAAAGAGGAACGTTTCATAATGATGAAAAAGATCAATTTGTCAGGAGGGTTGAACAATCTTCAATGTGCGTGTACCTGACGACACAGCTTCAGCTCGAACTAAATAAACCTGACAGAACTAAAGGGAGAAACAGCAAATCCACAATTACGGATTTCAACACTCCTTCCTCACAAAGTGATACGAGACAAAAAGTAAGCATACAGAAGTCTCAAATCGACATTGGTAAGCAACTTAACTAACTGACACACAAAGAACACTTTACCAAGAACCGTACTTTTCCGGCATTCACAAAAACATTCACCAAGGGAGTCCATTTAGCTGAGCCATAAAAAGAGTTTTGGTAAGCTTAAAAACATTTAAATTATACAAAGCATAACTTCTGGCCAAAACAGAACTGCACTAGAAATTAGTAACAGAAACTTATGTGGAAAATCTCTAAATATTTGGAAATTAAATACCTTTCAAAACATAACATGATTTAGCTTTTAAAAGGGTCACTCACACGAAAGACTCCGAATAGCCAAAATAATGTTGAAAAAGAAAACCAAAGCGGGAGGCATCACAATCCCAGACTTTAGCCTCTACTACAAAGCTGTAATCATGAAGACAGCATGGTATTGGCACAAAAACAGACACATAGACCAGTGGAATAGAACAGAGAACCCAGAATTAGACCCACAAATTATGGCCAACTAATCTTTGACAAAGCAGGAAAGAGCATCCAACGGAAAAAGACACTCTCTGTAGCTCATGGTGCTGGGAAAATGGGACAACAACATGCAGAAGATTGAACCTGGACCACTTTCTTACACCAGACACAAAAATAAACTCAAAATGGATGAAAGACCTCAATGTGAGACAGGAAACCATCAAAACCTTACGGGAGGAAACAGGCAGTAACCTCTCTGATCTCACCACAGCAACTTCTTACTCGACGTGTCTCCAAAGGCAAGGGAAGTAAAAGCAAAAATGAACTATTGGGACCTCATCAAGATAAAAAGCTTCTGCAAAGCAAACAATCAACAAAACTTAAAGGCAACCGGCAGAATGGGAGAAGATATTTGCAGATGACATACCAGATAAAGGGTTAGTAACCAGAACTTAGCAAACTCAACACCCAAAAAACAAATAATCCAGTGAAGAAATGGGCAGAAGACATGAATAGACATTTCTCCAAAGAAGACATCCAGATGGCCAACAGGCACGTGAAGAGGCTCAACGTCACTCCTCATCAGGGAAATACAAATCAAAACCACACTGAGATACCACCTCACGCCGGTCAGAGTGGCTGAAATGAACATATCAGGAGACTGTAGAGGCTGGCGAGGATGTGGAGAAACGGGAACCCTCTTGCACTGTCGGTGGGAATGCAAATTGGTGCAGTGTGGAGGTTCCTCAAAAAATTAAAAACAGGTCTATCCTATGACCAAGCCATAGCACTGCTAGGAATTGACCCAAGGGAGACAGGATGCTGATGCACAGGGGCACTTGTACCCCAATGTTTATGGCAGCACTTTCAACAATAGCCAAATTATGAGAAGAGCCTAAATGTCCATCAACTGATGAATGGAGAAAGAAATTGTGGTTTATATACACAATGGAATACTACATGGCAGTGAGAAAGAATGAAATCTGGCCACTTAACAACAGTGTGGATGAAACAGGAGGGTATTCTGCTAAGTGAAGTAAGTCAGAGAAAGACAGGTATCATGTTTTCACTCATGTGTGGAATTTGAGGAACTTAACAGAAGCCATGGGGGAGGGGAAGAGGAAAAATAGTTTCAAGCAGGGAGGGAGGCAAACCATAAGAGACTCTTAAATACAGAGAAC